GCGCGGATCCAGCGCGCGCTCAAGGGGCGTCGCCGGATCCAGGAAATCCGCGCGGAGCGCCAAAAGTATGTGTATGGCATTTCTTTTTCCTCTTCTGAAGATGTTGCGTGGTCTTGTGGATGCAGGTCTCTGACCGTAGGCCTCCCAGATGGGGTCTGAGCGTCGCGCGTTCCCGAGAGGGATTCGCCGGCGGCGCATCTCGCCCTCGAAGAGGAAGCTGGCGGAGGGGGCCAGCGGCGGCAGGCGGGCGGGAGTGCCACGGCGGCGGCTCCGCCCGCGGAGGTGGCAGCGAGGCGTCCACATGTTTGGACTCGGGGCGCGTCCCGTGCAGGTGCGCGTGGGGCTCCCTGGGGGCGTCCCGTGGCCACGGGCCGGATCCGCCCCGAAGTCTGGTCAGAATGCGCCCCCCTCCTCCTCCTCCTCCTCCTCCTCCTCCTCCTCCTCCTCCTCCTCCTCCTCCTCCTCCTCCTCCTCCTCCTCCCCCTCCTCCTCCTCCTCCCCCAGGCGCCCCCGAGGACAGGTCTGGGGATCACCGTCGTCGTGGAAGTCTAGCTCCAGAACAGCGAACTGTGGATCCCCGCCCCGCCTGTGGCGGCTGGTTCGTTTCTCGCTCCATTCGGGTCTGCCCCTCGACTCTCTCCCCCCTTCGATCATATTTGGCCAGGGGAAGTCTTCTGGCTCAAGCTATGCTGCTGGCCCCCAGACAACAACAACGGCTTCTGGCTTTCGATCCAATCGGTCCGATTCGATCTCGATCTCGACCGGCCCAATCCGACTCGATTCCGATGTCGTGGCGGTCCGATGCGGCCCGATGCGTGCATGGCGCTACTGTTCACCCTGGCGCGGCCGGTGCGATTCGAGTTCGACTCCGCGCCGGTGCGGCCCGATCTGCCACACGCTCCATTGTGACGCGGTCTGTCGACTCGATGCGGACCGATATCCTGCCCGAGGTCTCTCCTCACAAGGTCAGGCAGGGAACCGCGCTCTCGCTCGGGACTCCCCCCGCAGCTCTTTGCCTGGGAGCCGCGCGCCCGCTCGGAGAGCGCCCTCGCAGCGCACCCCAGGAGTCGCTTTTTCCCATTTCTGCAGCCACCGCGCTCTTTCGCCGGCGAGTCCTCCTCTCGGCTCGTCATCCACCATCCACGGGCCGTGCTCGCTGCAGTCACCCCGCACAGGAAGGAGGAGAGCAACGTTCCAAGATGACCCTTGCATCCTTGCCCCTTCGGCCCATCCTTGGTACCTTTCGCTGGTCAACTTCGTTCGAAAAACGTTCACATGGCCCTCCAAGGCCCTTGCTCGGAAACTGGAACATGTACATAACCAGTGGCGGGCCGTTTTTCAATCCCAGGACTTTTTGAGGGTCGTGGACGACGTCAGGGTGGTGTGGTGTATACTTTTCTTTTTCCGTTTCCCAGGGAAACAACCGAAACAACCGAACATGTACACACCAGGATCCTGTATACACCAGGATCCGTTTTCCAATGCAAGTGTCAGTGCAGGGCAGGAAAAGGCGTCGGTGCATAGTTTCCCTACCTGCATCATTGCCGCGCATCTTTATAACACGGGTGGACTGTCGCCCAGGATTCCCTTGCAGAGTGCAGATTCTCCAGGCTCACGCCACATCCGCCGACCCCTTGATTCGTACTGGCGGCTATCGCCGCGTTTCCGCCTTCACTGCTCGTAGCTGCGGGCCAATTTTTGCGCCGAGGGGCCCTCCTGGGACGCATCTTGGAGGCCTCTTGGGGCCTCTTGGGGCCGTCTTGGGCCGTCTGGAGGCGATCGTCGGTGTCTTTGATCGCTCTTCGACCGTCTGTGACCATATTGAGCTCTCTTGGAGGCCACTTGAAGCGCTCCTGGAGCGCTCTTGGGGCCGTCTTCGGGGCCCTCTTGGGCAATCTTGGGCGCCTCTTGGGCTGTCTTGGGGCTCTCTTGGGCTGCCTTGGAGCTTCCCTGGAGGCTGCTTGGACCGTCTTGGGGCGGTATTTAGGGCCTCTTGGGCCGTCTGGGAGCGTCGGAAAGCCCAAAAAGCGAATTCGTGAAAAATGTACGTTTTACGAAGGGAATGGGCCAATTTTTGCGTCTAGGGACCCTCGTGGGACGCATCTTGGAGGCCTCTTGGGGCCTCTTGGGGACCTCTTGGGCCGTCTTGGAGGCCTCTTAGCCCGTCTTTGAGCCATCTTGGGCGTCTTGGAGCGCTCGTTTGGCGTCTCGGGGCTCCCGTGGGCCGTCTTGAAGGCCTCTTGGGGCCATCTTGGCCCGTCTTGAGGCTTCCTGGGGCCCGGAAAAGCCCCGGCGGCGCTCGTCCCGGGCCCGGGGGGGGCGCTCGTCCCGGGCCCGGGGGGGGCGCTCGTCCCGGGCCCGGGGGGGGCGCTCGTCCCGGGCCCGGGGGGGGCGCTCGTCCCGGGCCCGGGGGGGGGGGGTCAAATCGCCGGTTTGGGGTCCCGGGGGGGGGACTATAGGGGGGGGAACTATCTCACACG